CTTTATTTCTTCTTTACAGAACCAGTGAAATGTTTCACAAAGATCAGAACATCCTATTTTTTTTAGGGATAATATTTTCATCAGAGCTGCTGCTGTACATCCACAGGACAGACAGGGAAAGTAACAAAACCACTTCATTTTCAGAACTTCCAGTAATAAACGTGTATTTTATTATTTCAAACTAATAATCAGAATTCAATCACAATTCATTTATCATGTACAATATCCCACATATATACATAAAGAAACACTTTGCTACAGTTTGAACAGATATGCCGAACATGCTGTAACACAATATGCTGAACGAGGGAATCGAGTGACTATTTTTAAACTTGAAGACGACTAGTTTCTAATTTCATTTCTCTAATTTGCAACACCAGTTAAGATCAAAGAGTTGCTCTGCTGCCTCCCTTTTGGAAAATTGCTGTTCCCTCCAAAAATAAACCTGCCTTACAGACCTTTAAACGTTTCGCAGGGCCGATCACTTGAGGCCTACAGCACTGATGGAAACGGGCTTTTATCCGACTCCCTAATTATCATGCTAGTCAGCGTGAGCCGTGTTAGGTTAGCCCAACACAATGTTACTCGGTAGCGCAGTTTCTAATTAAACACTGGGAAAAAAAAGATAATTGCTGCCTTTTAAGGGTACAGGAGACCTCACCCATGTTTCAGCTTCCCTATCTGAGCTGGAACATGGGGGGGAGGAAGGTGAACATTTCCTTCAGTGCTGAATCTGCAGCTGCTGACCAAAAACCCCTCCGACCGCAGGACCTCTCCCTTCTGTGGTCGCCGCAAACATGGTGGACCACCTCCGAACGACTTCAGCGCGTTTCTTTTCTGAACGCCTTTTTCATGTTTGAGGATTTAAACTTATCAAACATTCGTTTCTCATCCGTCTGATGGACTTTGACAGAGGTGACAAATAAGAGCTTTCAGCACATTTCTAAAACCTCAGCAAGGTTTTCTTTCCAACATCCTGGCCAAGAATTTAGAGGTAGAAATATGTATAAATATTTATATCTGGTTTAGGCACATGTACTTTGACTGTCTGTGTTGATCTTTCGCTATAAATTAGGCTTACAGGTCTGCTACTCAGGCTGTTAGACATTTTTTTTAGGGGGATTTACAGCATTTTTCTATATGCATACAATCCCTGGTAAAGATGTATAAAAGTTTTTCCATAAATTCCGATCTAGCATGAGTTTAATTATGAAGAATTTGAGGGAGGAGCTAAACATTTTCATGATGAAAAGGAGGCATAGATGTTTAAAAATAATTTGTAAAAATATTTGTTTAATCTACACTCCTTTTCTGTCATTTTTTAAAAAGTTATCATTCAGGTGAAAACAACTTCTTAATAAAATGAAAATAATTTTAAATCTTAACCTGCATTATGAATCATTTTGGGCATCACTGTTAAAAATCTCCTTAAAAAAAGTTTAGCATTTTTTTCTCTCAACTTCCAGATTCTAGTTTTTGGTCTTAAATATAATAAATTTAAAGCTTTGTTTTGTGCAGATTTATTATATTTACGCCTTTTTTATTTTTTACTATTAAAACATGTTTGATTTCATAACGAGCTTAATTGAAAAAGGACAAACTTTTATATAAATCTTTACCAGGGATGCAAATGACTGTTTAGCACGTGCAAAGATAACAAAACGTCATTTAAATAGGTACAAAAGTGAGATAAATTAAGAACAGAATTAACCGTATCATTGACTAATACTGAACAAGTTCCCTGTTTGGTTCACAAGAACGTCACATTATAGTAAATAGGTATTTACATATATATACAAGGAGTAGAGCGCAGTGCTGACCACTGTTCTAAAAAGTTGTTTTAAGGCAAAACTATGGATATGGTGCACGGTTATTAAGAATTAAAACTATGCTACATTACTAAGAGATCATAACAGGGTTGATTTGAGCCGCTAAATATAAATTAAAGGTTAGATTTTCACGCATGTTAAAGTCAACCCTTACAGTCTGCAAAGACACCAGTTCGGTCTCTCTTTTACTACACATAACGTGACAATTATCTAGTTGTGCTTCGAAAAACTTGAGGCAGAAAGCCTGAGAAATAACAGAATTAGAAACTAATACGTATTTTATTTTTTTTAGAGTTAATAGTAATGGGATTAATTGGCCCTGACTGAAAGGAACAGCGAGGAAGATGAAGGTCGCATCATGCTGCTGGACAGGAAAGTCTTCAGCAGGTCATGATGAGGTTCGCTGTCAGTCATCCAGTAATTATCCAATAAGAATCAGACGGTTTATCAGGCTTCTAGCAGATAAAGCGAAGGCTAGTTGTAGCAGAAACCCTTGAGCTTGAGGAAGGAAACAGTATTTAGATGAATAAAAAAACATGAAATACTTCATCTGGACATCATATAGCTGTACAGAAATATCAGCAGGTGGTATAAAGCAGTCTGTACATTTAAAAATTATACATCTAGGTGGCTGCTTACAAGCATACTGCTAAGGTCCTGCTTTGTAACAACGGCGCTCGGAGCTATGCAGAGGAGGAATGTGACCTCACAGGCCAGTTTAAAGAGCAGCTCGGTGTCATGGCGACGGTTCTTGTTCTTGTGAGGGTAGAAATGTGACGCTGCTCATCAGCTTCGTATCACCTGGGTGGGGGGTTACAGGAAGCTTGGTCCCATAGAAAGGGGGTATGAGGGCATTTGCTTAAAAAGTAATTAGACCCTCGTCCAAATCTCAGCTGTGATTTGTGCTCATCCCCCCCCATCATAAGTGTCCCACAGGTCGGCTCACATCTTCTTTGGTTTACGGCCCAGGTGGTAATAGTAAGCAATGGTGACCACGAAGAAGAGAACTCGACTGAGGAGCAGGAGCATGGCGGCGTTGGGCAGAATGCCGATCTCCATCAGGGTGATGCACGTCACTGGAAGAAGGGAAAACATTTTAATCATGCATGATGATTTAACTGACCAAAACACACAGATAAAGGTCATAATGCACGGCACACAGATTAAATAAATATCTTCCCATAAAGGATTGTTTATTTAATAATGATTTATTCCAGAGGGATAAAGTGTAAATCGATTAAAACACATTGATCAGTCTGCTAACTTGTTCCATATACATAAGAAAAAACATTTAGCTTTGCTTTAATGGACAGTTTCCTGTTTGGTTTATTCAGTTAATCTTGAAAATTCCATTTAACGTTCCATCTTATTCATGCCTCTTTAAATCCATTTCTGTTTATTTATTTATTTTTGTGGTTTTATTCAATCCTAAAATTATTTTTCAGCAGTGAATTTATCTTACAAAGTTGTTGTTTTTGCCAAAAAGTGTTTTTCCATACGTATGAGGACGATCTTTTATTTCCAGGTGGATCATCTAAATAAGTGGTCCTCCTAATTGCCAATCATTTTTGTTAGGGATGCACGATATAATCGGCCCCCTATCGGTATCGGCCTTAAAACTGAATATCGGACATCGGCCACCCCACCGATATTTAACCCGATATTTGATCAGCTTCTGAGTTTCTAAAGTCTAAAAAAAAATATATAGTATTTCTTCCTTAAAAAC